CGTTTTCCAAATTACATTTGAAGGTCATGTGATCGAGATGCGCATATTCCTTCATGAAATCTACATATTGTTGTTTTAATTTTTCATTTCTGTCAAATCGTCTTTCTAAATTTTTAAATCGCTTCAATGCATTTGCTTTTGAATCACCTAATTGATTATCAAAATTGTCTTTGAAAGGATATTGAACAATAAATTTACCGTCTTGACTGCGCGTTGTTGATTTTTCAAATAAATCTTCACAGATTTGTTCATCTTTTGATAAATAAATTTTGTTTGGAAGTTCTTCGAGTTTCCAAAATTTGCTTAAAGTCTCATTTAATTCGTTATTTGTTATATTTTTTGACAAATTACAAACTGATTTCTGAATGTTTGTATCATTAATATTTAAATTTCCGGAAATAATCCATCCTAGACGTGTTTCTTGTAAAATCGGCATATTTTTACCCAACTTTATTTTTCCTCGATCAAGCAATTCATAAAATACTCCTGCACCGATTAAGAGATCGATATTTTTTGGGATATTGAAGTTATTATCAGCTAAATTGATATTTTTTGGATAGTTCAGAAAATGTTTGTCGAATTTATATAATGGTAACTTTTCGGTTATTTTTGGTAGAACTAAGAATAATAGATTAGCTTTGAAAGAGTTAAATCGGGATTTTATAGTCGTATTTGTTCTTAGAGAAATATTAGTAATTATTTGATTGATTCCTGATAATGGTGTATTTATTTCTTCACATTTCAAATTTAATTTGTTATATAATGATTCACTCATTAAATTTGACTGACTTCCAGAATCCAACAATGCATGACATTCATGGCAATTTTCGTGATAATCCAAAATATATAATGTAGCTGTCGATAATAATACATGATTCACGCTAAAACATGAATAATTAGTATTCAAAGTTTGATTTATTGGGTTCTGATTGTTTTCTGGATGGTTAGTATTTTGATTTCTGTCGATCGCACATATGGTAGACGCTGTTTCTACTTGAACTCGAGGATTTTGTGTTTCGACTGCGTCCACGTCGATGCATAGTTGGTTTGTGGTTGTTTCGTTTACACCTTGTCTATTGATTGAATTGCCGTTGTGATTTTTATTGATATGCAATATGGTATTGTGTCTGAAATTGCATTTTCTACATCCGCTAGATTTGCAATCATTTCGTGAATGGCCTGTTCTTAGACAATTGCTGCACATTTGATTTCTTTTGATAACCTCATATTTTTCTTTACATGGTAGATTTATGAACTTTTGACACTGGTAAATGTAATGATTTTCTCGACAATATTGACATTTAATTTGACGTGTTGAATCCCAAGAGCGATGTTCTTGAGTGATAAAACATTTATTTCGTTCAGTAGCTTTCGGTATAGTGCCACTATGTTCATTTTTACGATTAGAAGTTTTATAATTTGATTGCATTTTTGAAAAGTCATTATTTATTGCTTCGAGCGTGAAACATTTTTTTGTTAAAAATTCAATAAGATCATTTAAACTTGGTAAATTTTGATCATTTTGGTTAGATTCCCATTCGCGTTTGGTTTTATCATCGAATTTTTGTAAAATTATTGGTATAAGGACCAGATCCCAATGATTCACTGGTAAATCTAATTTGTCGCGAGCTGATTTATGTTGATGTACAGTATCTAATAAAGACCTGATTTGACTTGAAGACTCTTTTGAAACTTGTGGTAGATTGAATAGTAAATTGTTAATGTGATAATTGATGATTGCCCGCTTATTTTCATATCGTTTTTGTAATAAGTCTAAGGCAATAGAGTAATTTGTAGAGGTGACGTTTAATGAATCGATTAACTTTAAAGCATCGCCTTTACATCAAATTTTTAAATACATAAATTTGTCTATTTCGCTCAAATCATTTCGATTGTTCACTATCGAGTCGAAAATGTCTTTAAAGCTATACCAAGTTTCATAACGTCCATAAAAATTAGGTAAACCTAATTCAGGCAACTTACCAATTGCACTTGTTGTTTGAGCTGTACTTACCTGTCCCATATTTGGGATATTTGATCTTGACAAATCCATATAAATGCGATTCCTTTCTTCAAATTCGATTTTATCATTTTCTTTTCGAAAATTGTCAATAATTTTGTTGGCGATTGAAATAACTGTGTGAAAATCCGATTCTGTTTCTACACGATTATCATTTTCTTGAGGAGCTAAAAATTCGAGTCTTGTTTGAAGTTTGTCAAATTCGGAAAAGTCGACTATGACAGTTTTCAACCTGGATTCTATTTGAAAGAATTCTTCACCATGATCATAAATAAAGGCTTTAAAACGATCTAATTTCTCGCAAATAACTTGTCGAGCATGATGTAATTCCGAGATTTCCTCTTGGCGAGAAATGTGAGCTTCGTTAGTTTTGGTTTTTACCATTTTGGCTAACTACAATTCAAAATGGTGTCGATTTTTTGCTTTACGATGATTTTTATGCAAACGAGTAAAATCACAAATTTTCACCTCATCGATATCGAGGTTTGATACGAGAATACGAGAATTCTATTTCAAGCGTGTTTGAAGTAGAAATGCGATTTGAAAACCTGAAATTTACTCTTTGTTTATTGATAAAATGCACACACAACCTATTCAAAACGAAATTTTGAAATACGCGCGATATTATAGATACGTCGGACCAATATGTGGAACCTTTCTAACTTCGTTACTACGAAAAAACGAATTGTATTTTGATAGGTTTCGATATGTTAATGTGTGTTGTAAGAAAGGAAAGGAAGCATAGAACGAGCTCACCTAGCTAGATTTGACGTGCATCCCTGCTTCTAGTGCTTTTCCATAGATCATCGATGAATCCGGCTCGAAGGACCAAAAGTTTATGTTGTGATTTCTTCGAAGGACCACCCTGGAAACTGCCAGGAACAGGCAATAAACAAATATCTTCACCTTTTACAGATCCTGTTTATTGTATCGGTTGGATGGAACTGCTAAATGCTCTCTTTCCTGAACGCAAAAAACCCTGTGCTTGACAAATTTTCTTACATCTGTCTCGTATTGTCATGAAAAAACAGAATTAATTCTGGTATTATTTTTTACCTGAAGGGTTCTGGCTGAAGCGTCTGGCAGAGGCATCTGTCAGAGGCATCTGGCATAAATTACAATTATTAACAATACTAAAAACTAAACAATATTGTTATTTTTACAACGAACACTTAACATAAAATTTTTAACTGGGGTTCTATGTTGATGGAACCTTTCAATATTGTCCAAAATTTTTTGTAGGTACAACTTTTCACAATTCACGGCTTAAAGAATTGCCATTATACCCCATTAGTATCCCACTATATTTTGTTAGGAATTTAGAAGTGCGGCAACAAGGCCATTTTTTCCCATTTTTTTCTTAGAATCTAAGATATATTCTTCGGTTCCAATTCGGCCCACACCTTTTTAAGGGCAGGTAAGTGGATAAGATTTGGGACCCAACTCGGATGCGTCCAAAGTCAAGTGTTCATCAACAAGTTTGCTGTTTTTATTTTTAATATTGTGTACAAATCGTAAAAGATAAGCAATTCTCTTCTGAAGAATATGAAAGTCAGAAACTTGTTTTAAAAATGAACAAATCATGGGATCAGAAATGTGAGTCAAAACGTTAAGTTTTTCTTCAGGTAGGGGACCAGGTATTTTAATTTTAAAATTAACATTATGTTTAAAATTTATTTCACTGAGTTCTTTTGGACCATGAAACCACAAGTCATGTGAAACTATCTCAGAAGCATTTAAGCCACGACTTAAACAATCGCTTGGATTCTGTTTTGAGTTTATGTATAACCACTTAAATCCTTTAGTATTTTCTTGTATTTGTATAACCTGATTTGCTACATACGGATTTAACTTTATCGGATTGGTTGCAACCCAAGACAAGACTATTTCTGAATCAGAATATAAGTAGCAGCTGTTAATTTTTGATTTTAAAGCATTAAAAATTCTTTTAAATAAAATAGACATTAAAAGAGCACTGTTCAAATCCAGTTTGGGTATAGTTAACCTTTTATTAATTGGAGCGATACGAAATTTGCTACAAAGTAGATTGACATATATTTTATCAGGAAATAAAGCACGTACGTATATGGACGTACCATACGCAAGAATTGAGGCATCGCAATAACATACAATTTCAATTTTTTCTGCGTGCGTGAAATGTAAGTCACGGGGAATTTTTATTGGTGGCATGTTCTTAATACTGTCGATTAGTAAATTCCACTCTGTTAAGATTTTTTCGGGCAAAATGTCATCCCAATTTATTTTGAGAATCCAAATTTTTTGAATAAGAATTTTGGCCGCCACTAAAATCGGACCCAAAAAGCCGAGGGGATCATAAAATTTACATATATGACTCAGAATTTGCCTTTTAGTTATGCAGGTAGAATTTGTGTTTGGTGAGGCCATAGTAAATGTATCAGAATTTGTATCATATGATAACCCGAGAGTCTTGACAGTTGTGTTGTTTTTGTCAATATCAACTTCATCTAGATAATGAAGATTGGTGGGAATATCAGATAAAAGCTCAGGACTATTAGAGCTCCACTTGTGTAGTTCAAAAGAGCCTAACTTTAATAATAGTTATTTATGTATCAAGGGAATTATGAGGGTGTTAATACCCCAGGGCAAAGTTTGTGTCCCGAGGGCCTTTGGCCCTCGGGACACCAATTGCCCATGATAATTCCTGCACCTGATAATTCCCGTGGTACATAGATAATTTTATATCCTACTGAATTTCTCCTATTTTGTCCATTTTTATAAAGAAATTAACCATTGACTACCTATATGAGCATTCAGGTGCGTTTCTATGTGCCTTGCTGGTACAAACAAGGTAGTAGTAGGTACTAGCTTTGTCTATGACACAAGTTCTATTGTTTGTTACTATGGCAGAGGCACTGTAACTATGGCTTGTTATTTATAATTGATAAAGGTCACATTTTGTCGTTGAAACGCGTTTTTGGTGAACAAAAAGCTTATTATAATGGACGAGATAATGAAAAAAGCCGAGGAAGCAAGAAAAACGTTGGTCCCAGCCAAGAGTGAGACTCTATATAATAAAGAGTATAGAAAATATATCCACTGGCTGGAACAAAAAGGTATCCCAGCAAAGAATAGTGACGAAACTGTTCTCTTGGCATATTTTCAAGAAATGGTACGGTAACTATTGTTCATTATGTTTTGTTTAGTAAGTAATTGTGCCTTATTTATTGCAGTCAGAAAGTTTTAGTCCAAATTCCTTGTGGACTAAATGGTCAATGTTGAAATCCATGCTATCTATACACGAAAAACAAGATTTTAAAAAAATCAACGAATTGGAGGCCTTTTTGAAACGAAAGAGCAAAGGTTATAGACCGAAAAAGTCTGCGGTATTGTCCCCTCAGCATATCGCCAAGTTCCTCAAAGAAGCCCCAATGACATGCATTTATTAAATAAGGTAAATAACCTAATTTCTATATTTCTTTGTGTATGTATTAATTACCTGTTTTGCAGATAGTTTTAATAATGGGATATTTTGGAGGGTGCAGAACTCAAGAACTTCTTAATATGAAGCTAAGTGATATAGAGGACCGGGACAAGGTTATGGTCGTGAGTATACCAGACAGTAAAACGGGTATACCAAGGAAATTCACGATTGTTGATGAGGATGAGTTCGTTGCTCTGCCTTTATTGAAATTTTACATGTCATTACGACCTAAGGGTATCGGAAGATTTTTTTTGAACTACCACCAAAATAGATGCACCTCCCAGCCAATCGGGAAAAATACATTCGGGAAAATTCCCAGTAAAATTGCATCATATTTAAAATTGCCAGACGGGACACTGTCTTCGTCGCACCTCTGCCACTGCGCTAGCAGATGCAGGTGCAACTATGACAAACCTAAAGAGGCATGGAGGCTGGAAAAGTTCCACAGTGGCGGAAGGATATTTAGCCGATAGTATCGAGCTAAAAAATCAAACGGCACGGATGCTCTCTACCTTACGATCAGAAGAGGCAGGCACATCAATTCAAATGTGTAACAGCAAAAGCCATACAGAAAAAAAATTAAATTGCAGCAATGGAAATAGTTTCCAGGGCAATTTTGATCATTGTAAATTTATTATTTGTAATAATAAAAATAAAGTTGATAGATTTTTAGAATAAAAGATGAATTGCAGTTTTCAATAAAGCTTTTTTGTCAAAATTTCTATTTTTTCTGAAAGTTCTACCTATTCAAGGTAAAAGCGGGAGTTATAGAAATCCTTAACTCCCTTGGGAGTTTTGATATCCTTAACTCCCAAGGGAGTTAAGACCCTGTTTATGATTATCGTAACCAAGGTATTATATGGTTGTAATAGTTCAGTAGGATATAAATTAATTAATTCAATTTTCAATTGCATCGTTTCCTCAGCAGTTTGACCCCCTGTCAAAATATCATCTACATAAGTATTCTGAAGCAGGGCTCTTGAAGCTAAAGGAAACTTATCCTTTTCTTTGACAGCAAGTTCGACCAAACATCTTGTTGCTAAAAAACTGCTACTTTTAAGACCATAGGTTACAGTCTGTAGCTGAAGACATTTAATGTCTTCTTGTGGATCTTCTCTCCACAAAATATTTTGTAAGCAACATTGATCAGGTTGAATATTAATCATCCTGACCATTTGTTTAATGTCACTTAAAATAACAAATTTGAATGTTCGAAATTGCACAAGTATATCAAATAGTTCGCTTTGAACTACAGCGCCATTATAAAGCATATCATTAAGTAATTTTTTACTTCTAGACCGCATACTACCATCGAACACAACACGCAAACGGGTAGTCTTTTTATCATCGCGGATTACTGGATGGTGTGCCATGAAGTAAACACATCCATCATTTAAATTATATTTGTTAATATCAAACACGATGGCATGTTTTAAATTTAAATATTCATTAATGAATTCAGAGTATTGTTTAAAAAGCTCTGGATTTATTTTAAAACGTTTTTCTAAGTTTTCGAAACGTTTTAATGCCATGCTGAAAGAATCTCCTAAATTTATTTCTTCTAAGCCTTGCTTTAGAGGTAAACAAACTTTAAATTTGTTATTAACTAATGAAACAGTGTTACTAAAAATTGTTTCACATGCTTCTTGCTCATTTGTGTACTCCGTGTACACCTCTTGAACATTTTCCACGTCCCAAAATTTAGTCAATAAATTTTCCAAATTAGCATTACTATTTGCTGTCGCATGCAAGCTGACAACTGACATGTTACAAAAATTATTTTCCAAAACGTTTTTTGGAACAGAGCCGCCAACAACATACCCAAAGTAGGTGTTTTGCAAAACTAGATCATTTTTTCCTAAATTTATATTGTTTGGCAAAATGATTTGGAAAAATGTATCAGCCCCAAGCAAAATATCAATTTTATTTGGTTCGTTAAAATCAAGGTCTGAAAGCTCAATATTTTTAGGGATATTAAAAGAATCAAGATCAAATCGAAATTGGGGTAAATTTCCAGTTATTCTTTCAGTGATTGCACAAGTGATATTTAACTTAAAATCATTAAAACAAGAATGAATTAATAAATTGACACATTTATTGACAGAGGTTGAACTCGTTGATACACCTGAAATATTTAAATTATTTTAAAATGTTTTTAACTTTAATTTTTTAGCAATTTCACTGGTCACCAATGAAACTTGTGAACCGCTGTCTATTAAACCTCGAGCATGTATAAAATCATGACTATTGGTTTTAATTTTAATTTTCACAGTGGGTAAAAGTACATTGTTAAATGTTTTATTGACAAAACCATGATTTGATTCAACAGGAGACACGTTTTCTTGTTGGATAGATGGCTTTTGAACTGGTTTGTTCAGATGCAACAGGGTGTTGTGGGCTTTACTACAAGTTTGACATTTTATTGTTAATTTACAAGACCCTAAATGACTAGCAGAGCTAGTGGTTCTAAATGTTTTGTTATCAGGTAAAGATACAGCTTCTAGAGCTGTAGCTCTTTTTTCAATATAAATTAAAAATTCTTCTAATATAGGTAAGGTGGCTTGATTTCTATCAATTTGAAAAGAACGATTGGTATATTGATCCAGTTTTCGTGACAGTAAACATATTAAAATCATATCCCAATGTTCGATGGGTTGCTTTAAGTTCTTTAAAGCGCCAATTTGTTGCCTAATTTTACTGACAAATTCACGAAGAGCAATAGGATTACCTTTAGTAATTCCTGGTAAATCCAGCAATGAATAGATATGATTGCTAACAAGCATGCATTCATTATCATATCTATTTTTTAAAATTTTAAAAGCTTCATCATATGATTCATTGATAAGAGGTAAATTATTAATTAGGGACAAAGCCTCGCCTTTGAGGTAGCTTCTTAGATAAAATAATTTTTCTACATCGGACAAAGACTTATTTTTATCAATTACCGCAGTAAAAATGTCCACGAATGGTTTAAAATTATTTAAATTTTTTCCATCGAATACTGGTATCTCAATGTGTGACAGCTTAGCAGAAGACACTGCACCTTTTTGAGTGTAATCAGTATTATCATGCGATGAAACTTTATTGACTTGATTTGATTTGTTTAAGATTCCATTCAAAGAGGCTACTGTGTCAAAATAATAATTTTCAAAGTCATCATTAAAAATATAAGTATTATCCAGCAAAGTAATTTCGATTTGTACCTCTTTATAGGTTTCATAACATATATCACAAGCATCTTTTCTAGACTGAAATTGTTGCATGATAATATTTGAGAAAGGATCATCTATGTGTGCTGCGATAAACCTATTGATTTTATCTAATGTAGCTTGGCATTACTTTCCCTTTTCTTTTAATTTTAACAATTCTTTTCTACTGCCCATTTTTACCTACTATTTAAAAAATATATTTGTTGAAAAGTATTGCTTTTATAGAAAGCCTCTAATCTATTAGACAATAGTTTAAAACTAAATGCACTTGAACACAACCTCCTACATTTAACAAGCCATGAAGTTAAAAAGGCAACACCGCAATTTTACCGCCAAGTGGTGCTGGTGGTGTTTGTTTGTATAAATATATATTTTTTATTTTATTAATATGAATCACAAAAAATGCATAATTTATTGTACTACAGGGCCAAAAACAGTAATTCAATGAATAATTTAACTATTTGTGTAAATAAGAACAGTAAATAATTGATTTAAATGAATATATTTCTAGAGTCTAAAGTGTTATGTTTCAGTATGTCTTTTGAAAATCTAACTTTTTCTTTCTTCGGGATTTTTTCGGAAGGCAAGTCCATTCAAATACTTGAGCTGATTTTCGAAAATAAGAAGTACTTGGTACCTACTTTTAAGAGTTGGACGTTTTAGTTTGAACTCTCGAACTACGGCTTTATCCTTGTTTGTTTCAAATCTAATTATTTCGGTTTCTTCAAAATGCTTACAACACACCACAGAATTTTTCGTTATTGTATAATCTCGGGTATAATTATCTTGGTGTATTCCTTTCATCCACATTTTTTGCACTTCAGAATTTTTTTGGAAATAAAAATGTTTGCATTTCTTCAGTTTTTAAGGAACTCCTAATAGTTCGATTTGCACCCAGGAACACAGTAGTTTCATGGCCTCTGGAACAAGTTTAAATATCTTAGGTAATATATCGAGACCTATGCTCTTGCAGACAAATATTAATATTGTTTTTAATGTTTTACCTTACCTTACCTTCATTTTTGCTCCTGTACTCATTTGCTAAAAATTAGCAATCAAAGCACAAAGGAACAGGTATCAACTAAATATGGGCAATATATTGGTGTGTTTCTATCCACTTTTTCGTCAATAATGCCCATAAAAATACTAAATTGCAACAATACACAATGAAAGCAATACACAGAAACACATAACCCAATAACAAAATAGCACCATACGCGACGTTGCCGTCATTTCCAACTTCATGGCTTGTTAACTATAGGAGGCAGTGACTTGAATAATAATTTTTAATTTACAAGGGAGGTAAAACAAAGTTTGTTTATGTGCAGGGTATTCTACTGTAAACTGTAAACACTAACAAATAATT